TGATCTCAGGTTAGGTAGCCTGACGAAGGGAGAGCCGGGAGAGTCTTGGAGCGCTTACCATTTGTATGGAAAACCCGGTAATTCCAAGGAGAATTCAAATGGAACGGTTCATCCCAGTGGAAAATTTCCGGAAAAAAAGTAAAACCTTTCGAGGTATTGCCTTTTTCCCGTTTTGACCGAAACGACCAAGATTTTTTGTACCACGCTGGTTAACCAGCTAAAGTGCCAGGCTCCCCGTTGAGGCGGAAGGTGGAAAATGGCGGTCATTTCTCAGGAGCGTTATGGTGTTTTGCAAATGGTACAACTCTAACACGTTCCTCTTTTCGGAAACATTTTCAAGTCCAGTACCATTTGTCAGAAATTTTTTACCGAAATTTCCTAACAAATGGCAAACGTTCTTGGACTCCCTTCGTTTTCCCCGCGTACTATTTCACTGGCTTCCCACCATAGAGAGATTAAGAGTCACGTTTACGAGAAATGGTAAACGTCAAATTCAAGTTGGCAATTTATCAGAATAGAAAATAAGCAGATAAAAACTGTCCAGAACAATTCTTATGGATAACACTGGCGTGAGATTACTTATTTTTGTGTAGAAGTAATAAACAGGAAACGTCAACAAGGGGGAAACTTGGTCACGTGGTACAAATTCACGTTTGCCGTTTGGCGTAAACGTGAATCTTAATCTCTCTAATAAGTGCAGAAAACACTTACAAAATGAAATTCATGAAAAAGAAATAAAAAGTAACAGTCAAGAAGTTCTAAATCTGCCTGAATGCAATAGCCTCTAGACTGCGAGCAGTCTCTCTTTTTCTTCAGATTTAGTATGGGGAGTGCACGCGCGCGCGAGCGTTGAGCGGCGAAGCCGCGCGCGTGTCTCGGGCGTTTTGCTCGACGGATGAAGAAAAATGATCTAATTAGCCTCCTCCACAGACGGAATCCCCAAACTTCGGGTTGCTCATAAAAAAATTACCCTAAAATTTCTCAGTTGTTGGAAACCTTTTTCAAGTAACAGAGCTATGCTTTGAGACGACCGTAAATGACGCATATCCACTTTCTACAAGCAGAATTAAAACAAACAAACATGCATACGTTAGATTGACAGTCTGTGTGTAGTGGAAGTAGTGGGCAAAAGAGAGAACGGGCGCGCGCGAAGGAGACACGCAAGGGGTGAAGCGCCTGGCTACGCAGGCTTTGTACAATCAACTCCCGACAATTCGAACCTTTAAGGGAAACAGAAAAAAGTTCGAGTTATCGGGAGCTCGAGTTCTCGAGGGTAAAATTATATTGAAAATGATCTGAAGGGAATGGAAAATTGCTTCGAGTTAGCAGGAGGCTCGAGTTATAGAGGGGTCGAGTTACCTGGAGTGGACTGTCCTAACTTCAGCCCCGGGGGGAGTTCTCAAGGGAAGTTTGGATAGATGTGTGGCGCCCAGGCCTTGAAACTTTGACCGACAAGACACCTCATTCAATGACCCTGACTCATTTCGCATACAGAATGAAAAAAGTTTTTGAACTAGCTATCTTCATAAAATTCGATTTGTTAAAAGATAAATTTAAGGATAAAAAACATGACGTTTCGGGGACGACATGTCACCACATGATCAAATGCAAATGAAAGAGACTATGAAACGATATAAATAGAAAACGAAAATAAATTTGTTGGTAACAGGGATGTTGAGCGCTCATCATAAAACTACATACTCTTTTAAAGGCTTCCAGTCCAAAAAAGACACCCTGTTCAAGACGCTAAATAATAAAATTGTATGCCTTAAGACTCAGGGCCCTGAAAACCATTCCCTGTTAAGAGGCACATATACCCGCCAGTAAGGCCAGGAGTCGATTGTTAAGGCCAAATAAAAGAGTGCCCTTTTGGCTTCAGCCTATCTTTAACACTTATCTCAAATTGCGACCGAAAACTTATCTGGACCCCAAGTACCAGAAATGCGTCTTGAATTTCTTTTCAACATGGCCGTACGGGAATTTTTTTGCTAAGGGTTAAGGGGGCGGGGAGCGGTAAACCATCTGCCCAAAATATTCTCGCAAGTCGCCCAAATTTTTACGAAACAGTCGAAGAGAAACGAGGGCCACACGATGCAACACCATAGGTCACCATCACCATTTGAAGGGAAAATATTCTTACATATATATATCATAAGGAAGGCTTATAAAACACGTTAAAAGAAATAGCCCTCTTTGCCGTTTTGACGGCCGAAGATATCAATGATACGATCCATATCATTGTTGACTACAGCGTTGGCATATGCCCTTTCAGTTTTAATAAGTGCGATGTTACTGACACGTTGTTGCCCCATGGTGCTGCGGCGGTACGTTTCCACTCTTTGCAACGCAATGAATGCTCGCAACGTCGTCCTCAGGCAGGTTGGAATGCTCGTTTTTCAGAACAAAATGTAGGCAGGTATCACTCCATGGATATGTACCACGTTAGCAAACGCTGAAAACAAATTAAATAGATCATTCTCGTGCACCATTTCTGGAACCGTCATAGTCTAATCCTCGCACTCGACGAAAACTCGCGTACAATTCCTGCTCGACTTCGAGAATCTCCCCATGGATTTTTAAAAATTTAGCAACGCGAGAGAAGCTTTCTTTATCAGGTGTTTAGACTACGAGTAGTCCCCCATTTTTCCTCAGGGATAGTAGAGCGAGCGAAACGCGAAAGTGCGTGAAAATCACCCCACGCGCTCGCGTTTCGCTCCCTCTACTATCCCTGAGGAAAAATGGGGGACTACTCGTAGTCTATGAGGTATTTCACTGTGACAGATGTTTCACTAAGCACAGAGTATTGCTAAGCACAGAGTATTGCTAAACCTGAGCTCAAGCTCGGACAGCACCCTGTCGATGGACGCATAGTCAATGCTAATTTGGTGGTTAGCCTGCGCAACAGACGAAACTTAACTCTGGTTAAGTGCCCTGGGCCTCCACCTGTTTACCAGGATTTGAGCGCCACGATTGGCCTTTTGAAAAAGCCATTGTCGATTTGCTCGTCAGGATGAAATGAAATTTGAAACGCACTTCCGGAATAAAAAAATTGGGGAGCTGCAACTAGGGCTTTCCACAAGTTGCTCGAGAGTTCTCCCACAGTTTCCCGAAATTTCTCAAAAAGTTAAAAATGCTCAAACGAAGTTCAGAAGTTGCTTTTTGTGACGAACGTTGCTCAAAAGTTGCTCGAAAAAACAAAAACTTTTTGTCGCCCTATTCCTTTATTGGATCTGAAGCAAAAATCTGCAAATTGTAAAACAAAATAAAGAATTTCTAAGCATTTTTGTACAGTTTTGGGGCGTTGCTTAATAGCTTTGTCCTCAATTAAAAACAAACGAATTTATGAGTAATGACCACGCATCAATATCAGGAGCTCATGACCTCATAGTCATGGGCTCCTGTCAATATCAAAGTTAATCTTGTAAAAATTATACTATGAGCCAAGAAAATTACTTCACCTGAGATAGGCTTCGTCCACCATTTTGAATTTGTTTTAATAACCGCTGACCAATGCCAGTGTTGAGAATCTTTTTACATCCTCAGCCTGGAAAAAGCTAGAGGCTCAACGGAAAATTAAAACTGCAGCTATCGTTTATATGTCTCTAAATGGCCTTGCCTCGCAGTATTTGAATTCGTTGTTTTTCCTATCGTAATGAAGTCTCTAGTTACTCTCTCAGGGATTCCTAGGGGAAGCTAGCTATTCCACTGCCCCGTACCAAAGCAATTATATTAAAAACAGTTTCAGCTACAGAGGTTCGGTGCTTTGGAATAGTCTACCTATTGAGCTGCGGCAAGCGCAAACTTAAACACGGCTGCAGTGATCTCTTTTGAAACATGTCGATAATCACGTCAATCGTGTAAAGCAGGTACAATTTACTTTGGCTTTAAAAAGAGTTAAAGTTTCAGTTAGGTAAATAGGTTACAATTTTGTAGTAGTTCACTTAGCTTGATGATTTTTAACCTTGGATAAATAAAGTTATTGTTGTTGTTGTGGTCTCTGTTGACCTAGAAGCCCGGCTGCATGCATCTTGCGCCCATAATCTGCCACAGGGAGGAGGATCTGGCTTCTTTTTCACAGGAAATTCATAAATTGTCTCTTAAACATTGTGAAATTTTTAAGAAAGGGCAATTTAAGCACTAATGGTTGTTCCGATATCTCAGAATTGCTAGAAAACTAGAGAAATTTCTCAGAATGCAAAAAGTTACTCGAAACAAAAAAATTAAGTTGCTCGAAATACTGAGAAGTTGCTAAAAAGTTATGGATAGCCCTTCCCCCCCTGCCCTCTGGCCCGTACGTCTATGCTTTTCAACCTGATTGGCAAATTAACAATGGCTTTTTTTACGGTAACAGGCCAATCATGGCGTGTACTCAAATCCTACTTCCTACTGGTCCTCTGGCTCTGAGGGGCCGACCATTTGACTTTTGAGGGGGATATGGGTGATTTCAGAAAAAACTATCCCGCAGACTGATTTCGAGGGAAAAAAATTCTTGCAAGGAAATATTATAACTGGCGAATTCGTGGCGCATGACTCTGGAAAAAAATCTTACAGCGCGGCCGTTGTATGTCCGGAAAAAAATGCTATTACCAGCGGGTTGGGGGAAAAAATTCTTTCCCCGCCAAATCACCAATACCCCCACCCCCCATCAATGTCAAATGGTCGACCCTTTTTTTACCCCAAACTCGCACAAGCCGGAGCATGCTCGCTCGAATAAAGGCTACTCTGTTCCTACTAGTCCTCTGTTCCTAGTCTTCATCAGCTGTTCCTGTGCTCCTGCTGTTTCTTACCCTGCTAGCAGAATCGTTTCGATCTCCCCCCTCCTCTAGGAAGATCGAAGGAGACTCTGTTCGCAGGATAGCTGTTTCTCTGCTCCTACTATACTGTTCCTCTCGTTCCTACTGTTCCTCTGTTCCTGTGCTCCTACTGTTCCTCTGTTCCTCGTTCCTTCATTCCTCCTTTGCTCAACGACTGCGCCACTTTGCCCCAATCCTTCACGGATTAATAATTCAAGATGGCCGACACATTGGCCTATTACCTTTTTGGTGATTAATACCTGGCTTTTGCCACTGGTGCGTAGAGTAGATCTTACTAGTTCACCATTCTCTGCTTTTGAAGCAATTGTTAAGCGTGGGAGTTTTAACTCAAAGAAAGATGGACCTTGACAGAGAAACAAACATCGTAGAAATACCTCGCCTGAACATACAGTGGGATTGGAAAGAGGCTCTGAGGTGTGTTGGATATATACCAGTCAATTCCAAGACCGTCCATCTCCCCTCCAGGCATAGCCCGGGCATTTGACTGGAGTTTTGCTCCGTGCAGTGGGGAATTTGACCCAAATTGAGGCCTGCCCGGTCGAGCATTTGACTTTCGTGTCAAAACGCTTGTCAGCTTCGCAGGCAAAAGCTTTCGTAATTCTTTCCGCATTCAGCATGTGCACCGCGTTCTCGGGTCATTGCTCCTATATTCAACGTTTTGGTAGAGCATTTGAGAGCCTTTGAAAAAGCCCGTTTAATGTGGACTTTCTAGAATGAACAATTTTATTGAAATTAACAAATCTCCGTAGTCTCTATGTGTTTGTAATGGTAACAGGACTGTGTGGAGTCCAATTCGGTCTGTAATCCTACGAGTGATTAACAAAATCGGACGACCGCTTAGCGGGAGTCTGATTTTTTTAATCACGAGTATGATTATTACTGACCAAATTGGACGACGTGAAGTTCTGTTACCAATTAATCATAACATTAACAAAATTTGTGATATATAAGGCTCTTTTTAAAATCAAAACACAAGAAATTCCAAGATTTGTTTTTGCTAGCAATGTAAAAAACAGCCATTTAAGCGCGCGCATGATGACGCGTACTGTCCAATTACTTAGGCATGACATGTACTGTCCTATTAAGGCTGAAATCAGGCAGTTGATAACCAGTTGTTATAGTTATGATTATATAATCACATTTAAATATGAACGGTTTGATGCATGGGAAAATTTTTGAATAGTCGCTGGTGGGTAAGGGATTTGTCACTTTTTGAATCGTTAGCGGGTTGGGCACTTCACCATCTAAACTGCCAACATACAGGGAAATTTGAACAAAATTGTTTCAAAAAAGTCAAATTCCTAGTGGGGGGTGGGTGAGCATGGGCGGTTTTGGAATTGACTGTTACATTAGGTTAAATTTGCCCTGGACGTGCAAAACACGTTGTAAGGAAAGATGAATAAATATGCCCCAACTAGGTTTATTGATAAACTAGGTTTAATTTTGTAAATTTGCTGTTGTCGATAGAAATCCTGGAGGAAAGGCTTGGATCTCATGTTCGTGGGCTAGTAAGTATATCTGATTTTTTTCAAATTTGTTTTTAAAACTTGTAAGCTAATGTTAAGTCTGCAATCTGAACAAAGCACGTATAATCCCTGGATTCAGTGCAACAGAGGTCTTAAAATCAAATGTTCCTTGTCCTCGCTTGGGACTGCTTAGTGAAACACAGTCATGTAACTTGTTGAGTTTGGGGTACCTCTACTAGCTTGAACTAAAATCACGTTGATTATGATCTGTCCATCACAGTCCTGAATTGGAAAGGATAAAATGTACTAGAGCTGGTATTGCAATCAGTTTCAGATCTTTTGGAAAGCTGTTTTTAACTGATCTGACTTTCCTTAAGAAGGGGAAAAGCTTTCAACTGGACTAGTTGGTGAAGAAACTAATGATTTACCATTAGCTTAACTTTTGGTACTTCAGCAAGATGAGAACCAAAAACCTATTGTGAGTTTTCCTTGCTTACTCCCACTATTTACAGTACTTTTCGTTATAAATACCATTAATCCTGTTCATAAGTACCGGTATACTTGTCCGTTTTTCTTGTCGCTAGAATTAAGTGATTAGCCCTCATGGCTTTAAAAAAAAATTATCTTACATGGTTGGCAGTCAAAAAACGCACGAAGATAGACTACTGAAAGCCAATTTCCACTAACAACAAAACAGGATACTAGGCTCTTAATGATTTTAGTTTGTGATTAGAGGAAAAATTGTCTCGTAGATCAGCCCACAGTTTATGGTGAACTTGTATCTCATGAAAATGTGGATGGTGGTAACAGCGGCCCCTTAAGTATCCAAGCTTCAGATGGATTTATAGTTGAAACTGTTAACAAGGTTGGTAACTGTTAGATTAATTTTATCTTGTTATTTATTGTGGTTATCCAAGGTTAATTCTCCCATTTCAATCGGAAATCCTACCTCTCCTCACACACTCATACAGTTTTCAGGAGGGGTATCGGAAGGGTGCAAAGCCCAATTTAGTAGCAATCTTTTCATATTTTGGGTAATCTTTCATGTAGCTGGAAGTAACATTTGTTACATTTTTCATTATATCACAGTGGGAATTCTCAGACTGGGACAAGTTTTTTTGCACATGGACCAATACAATTCAAGAATTCAACTATGCAACAGTTGAAAAATTTAAAAACGTTTGAACTTACATGTACCTGATCTTTTGGGAAACAGCCCTCAAATTTATGAATTTTGTTGATCTGTTTGCAAAAGAAAGAAAAATCCAGAATTTTTTCGTCAAAAAAGTGTTGTGATTGGACAATCTTCTTCCGAGTGTCTCAGTTTGAGTCTCCGCACTATAAGTCTATATTATATACTATCATGCTTCTAATGGTTTCCATATTGGAACCCTTCTATGAAGCACTTCACTTGATTAGAAGGATACTCAATAAAGATTATTATACTGTACTGCCATGTAATAACCCAATTAAAGTTAATGATAGTTAAAGTTAATAGTGGTTGCAATATTTTACAGGAAAATTATGTATTCTATCTTGTTCTCTATTTTTAGAACAGTCTAACACTTTCATATTCAGAAAGCAGATGTACCACAAAGTTTATTTCACCAACTGCAGTTCTTGCAAATGTCCACAAGAAAAGCGTAAGTTTTTGCCATAAATAATTAATGTAAAATGAGACCACCACAAATCTCCATCATGTTGAAATTCTCAGTAACCTGCAAGAGTTCTGGTTACTTTACTGAGAAAAAAAAGACACTGTGGCAACAACAAAAATCCCTTTTTTTGGCTATACCTTCCTCTATTCTCCTAAAAAAAATTTAACATCGCTCGAACTAGGTTTCAACTGCTTGAAACTTGTGAAATACATTAAAAACCTGGGAGAAAGAACCTGCATTTTCCAAAGTTAGCGTAAATGGGTTCTTAGTATACATAAATGGTAATTAGCCCAAATCTTGGTAATTAAGGTTCTTAGATAGGTTCTTATTTTCTGGAGGAAAAAATAGACATTGTAGCTCAGAACATTAGTGGTATTCAGCTTACTCCTTATTTAAAATCTGCATACCAATACACTGTACCTGGAGTGATGAGGCACCTAATGTATATGTCTCCAAAGAGGAGCCTGAATGTTGACTGATCTTATTTGCCCAAGTGAACAAAAAAAATTTTTTTTATAGATTTAATAGAAAACAAGAACCTGTTTCATATTTCAGGCTGAATAGGTTTTTTAGCCAAAAGTTAAATATCCCTCTTTTCAGAACAACCTCCAGACAGAGAACCTTTTTATTACAGAACTTTTATATTGCTTTGGAACAATTAAGAACCTTTTCTTACATTTTTTTAACATCTCTTAAGGAACCAGCTTTTAGATAAGTTTTTGAATGCTTCTTAGTTAAGTTTAAATAGTATTAGAATTAGTAATTAGCATTGTAATTAGTACTAAGTTGAGTGTTGTAATTAGTTACATGTAATGCTTGTAGATAATGATTGTTCCTGAAAAGCCCCTTTGGGGAGGAAACAATAAAGTATGTGTGTATGTATGTATAGATGGGGCCTAACTGGCAAATTTTGGTCTAGCAGGTTGTTACTCCCAGCTTTTTAAGGTATTCCTGAAGTGTTACATGAATGAAGGAAGTAGTCAAGGAAGTTGCATCCATACATGTACATGTACATTGGCATGCTTGAGCTTTTCTCAGCATGTTTATTATTCCGATGAAAGGTTTTTATATCTACTATAGCAGGCAGGGATGTTGGATAAATAATGACCGATTTCCCAAACTGAGTGCCAAAGGCAAAAGCTTCCAGGGGAGTTTAGGAGCATACTCCCCCGGGAGATTTTACGGTTAACTCCCTAAAGTCCTCTTTCCTGGGTTTTTCGAGTCATTCAGACAGGATATTGGCTAGATTTCAACTTGGAAAGTTTTTTTACTACTGAAAGTATATTTACTGTGGAAACTGGTGTGGATCTGCGGCCATATAGTGTAGAAAACATACAAAACATATGAATGAAATGATAATGTACAGTCATGTCTAGTCAGGCATACCTCCAAGATGACATTAACGTATTCACAATTGAACTGCCAGTAAAGCTCACGCATTTCCTCTTCCTTTCCACTTGTGACACCATCATATGTAATGCTCATAGACAACTTTGACACTTTATGTGCAGGGGAAGAGATCTGAAATGGTGGTATTTGTAGACACAGATATACACCGAAACTCGGTTTTTGTAGCGAAAGCTAAATCGACGTTCAATCCTGAGTGCTTCTGTGGAAGCTTGCCAGGATGCTTCTTGCTTCTTTTTGGGGTTTTGATGGAGTTTGACAACACCATTTTGGGTTTACACTGTACTTTAAGCTTGTCTTTACAACGCTTTTGGGTATGATAAATCCATGTGGTAGCTGGCTTGCTGCACCGATCCGATTCACAGGTTCCTCGGATTGTTTTTTTACGACTTTGTGTCCGCTAAAGAAGCGTCTTCTCTTAGAGCAGTGGTAGGGAAATTACCTCTTCAACTAGCAGTGGCCCATACTGGAACTCGTCAACTTGAAAATATCGGGAATTTTAGCCACAACAAACTCAGAAGACTACTGCGAAACCTCAAATGCTAAGAGGAGTGTATAAAGCAAACATATCAGACATTTCACGGTGAGAATCTCTAGGCGTTTTCCCTTCTACACGGATCTAGAGTTACAATGCAGCTTCATCAAACGAAGAATGATACTCGCAGTTGTGAACGTAAATTTATGCAATTGCGCAAGAAGCGGTTTGTCACAGTGCAACTTCAGTTTAATATGTTACATTCTTTAAGCGGCATAGGACAACGGAAGAGTATATACAGTCATCTGATGAACTAGCGCTGGCACTTTTGCGATCGAAGAGCAGTTTCGTTAAATGGGACAAAAATTGAAAGCAGATTGAAACGCCAATCTAAAGGGAGCTAAGAAAGGGAACTTACAGAGCGCTAAAAAATGGTAAGAGTTTGTGTAGAGGTTATAATCATTTTGTGAAGATTTGTTTTGATAATTAAGGACGAATAGGTAGCAAGTCAGGTACGTAGATGGTATTCAAATAATATCACAATCAAGACAATCTTTCAATCGTAATCCAAAACAATCTTGGATTCTGGATTTACTCTATGGACTCTGGATTCTAGGTACTGGATTAGGGATTCCGGATTCTGGCGTCCTTGTCAATGGAACTTGGATTCTGGATTCCAATCGTTCGGGGTATTCCGGATTCCCTGAGCTCAATTCAACAAGCAAATCCACAATGCTGATTTTCCTACATAGGGCAACACACTTCATGCTTTTTAACATTCTTCTTGTAGCACTTAATACTTGTTTGCCGTAGAATTCTGATTACTCTGTTTCTTTTCATACAAGACCACAATTATGAACTGAAGCACACACTACCAACTCCGCGGTATGGCCAGTTGTGCATGCATAAGGTACTGGCCATACCGCGGAGTTGGTAGTGTGTGCCTCAGTTCACATTGTGGTCTTGTCTTTCAATACAGCCTTAGGTAGACTTAGGTAAAACGACCTTGGATAGAGTACAGTTTGGCTTTCCTCTTCTGCTTTTTGTGCGTCGACTAACATAAATGTGTTAGTAGAGCGTTTTATGATTTTAGTAGGAGGTCAGGTCTTGTTTTCAGTTTTGCTAAACAATGAGGTTTCAAATGTATGCTAATGTCCGAAACGCTTTTGTCTACAGAAATATCAATGTTTTCGTAAATTTTCTTCTACTTCATTCTGGATGCCTTACATCATAGTAATCGGTGAAATTTTCCCTTCTGAAAAACGCTATTCCAAAACGTAACCAACACTCTGGTAAGTAGGTTCGGGCCTCCTTAAAGAGATCTAACTAAATGTGTAAAAATCAAAACTCTTCTTTTTAGCCCCGGCTGATACCCTGGTACACAAGTTGTCACTTTTTATCTTTAGTCAGCTGCCTGTAGCTGCCGATCTTCATTTAGCTAAGAAAACAAACCATACGAAAATCAAGACAATGTTACACAGGAGTGATTATTTTATCACATTTTTCTTCACATGGCTGTTTCAGCTGCTTGCAGTTAACAATTTCTATTACGTACAAAAAAACAAAGTCAAGGTGATTAAGTTGCAGAAAATAATGAAAGGATCAGAATTCTTTACAATTCTTTACAATTTCTATTACGCACAAAAAAACAAAGTCAAGTTGATCAAGTTTCAGAAAATAATGAAAGGATCCGAATTCTTTATAGCTGCTATTACTGTGCCATACTGCTCATAAGAGATGTTTAAACTTTGGGTGTTCATCCGTACGTTTCAATTTTACTCGTTTTCTCAGTAAAAGTAATCTCAAGTAATTATCTTCATCTTGCATCTCCCTTTATTTTGCTAAAACGTGAACACATCCACTCAATAATAGATGACATGATTAATAGTATGTCAATTTCTCCTAAGTGTCCCAAAGAGCGCACTTATTTCACCCAACAATTGTTGGCTTCCCACTGGAAGCGAAGTTAGTTTCAAGTAAGCACTTGATTCAAGTGCACTTGGAAATCTTAAGTCGCTCTGTAGAAAACATCTTCACACTTGTTGACAAAGTATATTACTTGAAGTAAAAGCTGTCAATCTCTCCGTTCATTAGAATCTTGGAACCGCTGCACGTGCACATCGTGCACATGGCTTCCATTTCTTATTGGTCAAGTGTGCTCTCAAGTGTGGTGTAGCCGATACTTGGCGGCAAACTTCGGCTTCTTTGACAACGATCGTTTCCATGCTCACCAAGTTAAGCTGAAGTAGGTACATCAAATTTTACCCCTTCACACTCAAAGGAGGTTCTAAGTACACTTGCATTATACTTGAAGCCCTAGTGTGAAGCCAACAAATTTCCCACGCATCAGAGCTGTACAGAGTAGCTGTAAGAACTTGTATCTCCGAGAAAGAAAGAATGATAATGATAAAAAAAAAAAAAAAAAGGAAGACAGGACAAACAAGAAAAGAAAACTTAAGAGGAAAATTAAACCTTTGAAAAAAGAGAAAGGAATCTACTTCTCATAACATATATAACAGCGATATGTTTATGAAAACGAGATCAGATTTAAACTCATTAAACAATGTCATAATCCCAGGTCCTCACTGAGTCCGTTCCACATAGTTGCTGATGCATATCCAAAGGAGTGTAAACAATGAGTCGTACGTATCTAACAACAAGTTTGTTTGATCCCCATAGGCTATAAGAAGTATTATTCGAAACAGACTGCTTATGATATATTTCGTCATCGTGTCAACATGGATTGCATAATTACATAATGTACATAATTTATAATTACATAATTACATAATTGCATAATTACATAATTTTATACAGTTTGTCCAGCTGTGAAAGGTTTGAACCCAGGAGTCATTTCAAAAGTAGGTTGAGTATGATCGTCCGGGTGAATGTAGTCCTGAATTGGACTGTTGTTGTTGACAATGACTGAGATTTCGATAACCTGTGCGGTGGTCATTTTCAAAGCAAAGTGAGTTGTATCACGTCAGTTGATAGTATTTGACTCTGGTTATTGACCTGATTGGTCAATTAAGTCGTGATGTTATTTGCTATGAAGACTCGTAATGTCATTGGTGCGTTTCGATCCGTCTTAACATATAATGGATTCCGATTGGCTAAGTGGGTGTCACTATCCTTCAATTGAGTGTAAATTATTTGTGAGATAAAAACATTCATCAAAGCAATAGTCACTCTAGTATCACGATCTTTTTCATTTCTCGTAAGGATCACACTATTTTGACCAAGTTTCGGGTGAGGTATTCCATTGCGTAGCATCAAGGTACTTTAAAAGCCTCGCTTAATTTAAGGTAATTTGTTCGCGGCTCTTTAACTACTAGATAAGTTTCAGAATGTGTTAAATGATAACGTTTTCCTTTTTGCAGTCTTTAGTGTTTATAAAGTAAATAGTCAAGTGCACACAAAAAGATTTCAGTCGTTAAAAGGAATCAAGGACACCCAACGACCGAACGTTTCCAAATACTTCAAGAGAAAGAAATGGTTTTCTCTTGGTTAATTTGGAGCTACCCTGAAAAACTACTTATCTGTTCGGATGTCTAAGGGGAACTTTGGTCGTCACAAAAGTCTCAGGTGGCTTTTTCGTGTCATCCGAAACCGTTATCTGCCCTGATGTGTCCGGTCGAAAGTTCGGGGACGTTGAATAGCCGTACTTTCATTAGAAAATTCTACGGGAGTTTTTGTCTTTATGTTTATATCAAAATTTTCAGGAGACCGTTTTTTAACAATAATCGCAATATCATGGTCATGAAAATCGTGTTAAAAACACAACCTCCGAAATTCGTGGGTAAGTTAGTAGAACAACTCCGAATATCTTCGAATTAGCATAATGGCGGTTGGTGATGCTTTTGTGGTCTCTGCATTTCTGCTAAACTTTCTCCTTGTTAACAGTGTATTATGTCCGAACTTTTATTGCCTTTATTCGTGTCTGAAAGGACAACGTTTTCTAGCCATGGTTGGTAAGCAATTTGGATGCGTTGAAGAATTTGATTTGTCTTACTTGTCGCTTGTGGATAATGTGAAGATTGAGGCGCAAATTGACATATTGTCACTCCCAGGGGTAACACTTTTACCTCTTCTCTTTTCACCGAGAACAATAGATCCTTTTTGCATGACGTCACGGCGACCATATTTGTGTACAAAACAATGAATCGGCGGCCATGTTTGTGTACAAAAATAATCCTGTGGGAATTGAACTCTTTTCACACGTTAAAACTTTCTTTTTTTCCAAGCAATTTGCAAAGCTGCTGACCACGTGACTGAAAACGATCTATACCTGCTGTATAGGCGCTGAAAATAGCGACGAATACATACGTGGTGAAGCAGAAATTTACCAGAAATAGAGTTTCGTGCTATGCCAATTCGTTGTCTACCAGAAGAATCCTGCTTCTAGGCGGAGATGTGGAAACAAATCCTGGTTGGGAAGATTCATCTCGTGAGAAACCCGACTACTTGCAAGGTTTTGCTAGAACGGTCAGACATGCATCCAACAATTTAAATGTTGCCTACTTAAATAACCGTAGCCTCAGCAACAAGCAGGATGAAGTGAGAATGTTGCTTCGTCTCTGCCGTGTTGATATTCTTGCAACAAAAGGTGGATAGCGCTATCCAGCCTCTTTCCAGCGGATAAGTATTACGAAGACCAATTGCCTTATCCTCGGATAGTGATTTATCCCGCCAGTGGATACCGCTATCCACCTTTTGAACAACTGGACCCAGAAATTTATAGGCAGTATTTGCTTCTTCGAACAGCTGTTTTACAGGAAAAAAGTCGTTGAGTGCCCCTATGGAATGATAACGCACGCAATGGCTTGACTCGAAGAGAGTCCAGTAGACTCAGCTCCAGTGTGTGTTACTTGTAAGAAATTCTAAAATATCGGAAACTCTTTATCGGTAATTGCGACAAAATTGAAGTCGTGACGTTCTCTTTGCCATTCCAAACAAGTTTAACTTCGTTAGATGTTCGATGACGGCAAAGAAATCTCCCAAACGTAAGCTGCACGTTGAGGCTTAAAGTGTGCTCAATGAATCTGATACTTATATATTTTTTTGATTTTCTCGTCTCCGTGACTAGAAACGACGGTTTCGTTGAAAAACGGACGATTCAATAGAAATGTGCGACGAAAACGACGTCCGCAGGTACTTATAGAGAGGCTTAAATATGGAGTAGCCGTAGTGAAGAACACCTCAGTCGATCCAAATGCAATCAGGCGAACTTAACTACGTCAAAAGTTCATGAATTGAGTTCGGCCTTAAATCTCGTTCAAATCATTTTTTGCTGATTAAATTTTTCTTGGGAATTCTGCTTGTTACCAGGATAGGTTTTGGTACCATTATTTGCGTTCATCGATCTTTGTGCAAAAGTCATAATCATAAAAGGCCTCAGGCAGTCCCAATGAGTTGGTTGAACAATCGCTAATCCATTTTAAAGGGCAGCTTTTATTTCGTTTGTCGTTTTCCTAAAATGTTGATTAAGTATTTCAATTTACAGTCGTCCCAAGAGAAAACAATGCTCTTGCAATGTTTTAGGGAGCAAAAAAAAAAAAAAAATTATATGGGCATTGCGAAAGTGGCGAATAGAGTTTTCAATAAAAGTCACCTGCATCATTTCTAGCATGCTTCTTCGATCATGAATGTAGGCAGTAGATCAGCCTAAATTGTTTGTACCTGATTGGAGTATGAAGATCTAAATTCTTGTTGAATTCGAAATGCCCAGGCTTACCAGGCGTTATTTGGTTTACCAAGCTTAATATGTCAGTGTTCTGCGAAGGGAGTCTATTATAAGTCGCACCTGCTAACTATAAAGCTCTGTACACGAAAAGTTCGTTCTCCATGGTTTTTACATGGTTTGTGTGCTGTCTTCACTTCACAGCTGATTGGACCAGGTTCGAAGTGGTTTAAGTATAGTCTGGCTCAACCAGAGTTTACCAGGCTTATAACCAGACTTTTGGTGCAAAAGAAAACAGGAGACGCTCTATCGGTCATACACTGATCTAAGAAAAATGATGAAGAAGCCTGCCAGGTTGTTTGTAACACTGGTTTTCTCCTTGACTTCAACGTCATTGGCTAAAACACCCATCATAAAGAGGCCCTTAAACATTGCACACCGAGGGAGCTCGGGAACATTTCCAGAGCACACCATAGAAGCATACAGGTAAGAAGAGGTCAAAATCAGCTATGCATTCAATTGGAAAATAGTTGGGTACGAAAGAAACTTTGTTGTTATGCGTAAGCTCTTTAAATGGCAAATGGTAGTCTCGTTGCATGATCAGAAATTTGGTGCTAAAAATTGTACAACAAATTGTAAACTTAGTTTTTTCTGACGTTGAATGCCAGTCAGCTCTTGTTGTTTATTAATAGAGCCAACAAAATTTTAAGCTTTTGTAAACCAATTGCTGGTTTGCAGATGACGTCACAGCGGCCATGTCTGTGTTCAAGGACAAAAGCATTTTTCTCCTTTTGAGAACTAAAAACCCATTTTCATGTAAATTCTTCGACAAGAATTTTACTGTATTCCCCATTTCGGGGGGCAAATATCACGCAAACAAAGTGTATTATGGGAAATGTGGAAATGGCAAGATGACCACCAACATGGCTGCCTTGTCACGTGGTTGCAAACCAACAATACGATACGGAGGAAGCGGCAAAAATGTAAAAACCCTATAGCGCATTCGTACAACTTTATGAACATGTTCCTCAATATATGTCCAGAGCTTTTAGTATTAGTCTGCTAGCTGTTGTAGCTCTTCTTGTGTGCATCCTTGATGCAGGTTAATGTTATAATTTTTATTTCTATCTTCTATTTCTCATTTTTCTAGGCAGGCTATCAAGGATGGAGCAGATTTTATTGAATGTGATGTTTGCGTCACGAAGGATCTTAAACTTGTTTGTCGACATGAAAGCTGGTTGAACGACACAACCAATATCTGGGAAAACCCAACACTTCGACTAAAACAAAACACGTACCACATACAGAGTCCCGTAAACGGCTTGGCAAAGACAATCACCGACGTTTTCACGGTTGACCTGACTCTTGAAGAACTCAGAACCATTCGTGCGAGGCAAAGGTATTCGTTTAGAGATCCCAATTTTGATGACAAGTTTCAGATACCTACTCTTGAAGAATTCATCCAAGTTGCCAAATCAGCCAGAAGACCCATAGGGATTTACCCTGAAGCAAAAGATCCGCAGTGGGTTAACTCTTTGGACATTTTGCAGCAAGCCAAAACCACTTTTGAAGACCTTCTTGTCGATGTACTGCACAGAAATGGATACCTTACACGAAAAAGCCCTTGTTATATCCAGTCGTTCAGTGAGGACAGCATCAGAGCAATGTCAACAAAAACCAAGCTACCTTTAATATTGCTGATGGCAACCCCTCTTCCGGTCCCTGAAGATAAACTGGAGGCTCTGTCTGAAATCTGTTATGGCATTGGAGTACACAAGTACATGATTCAGCCAGTAATTAGTAACATCCTTCAGGATCCCACCGACCTCGTCGCCAATGCACACAAATACAACCTAAAGGTTCACGGATACACATTTAGAAACGAAGACGAGTACTTAGCATGGAATTTCACTCAGGATCCTTACAATGAATATGAAACCTATTTCAACACTCAAATTGATGGTTACTTCACGGACTTCCCAAGTACCCTAAAAAGATTTCTGGATGTGAAAATCATGCTTGGCATGCAGGGAAAATCGAAGAAAAAAGGAAAACTGTAAACATTGTCCACCTCTCTTGTAAAGTCGCTTTTGAAAGTTCTTTTTCTTCTGGATAAAATGACGCATTAGAACTACTACGCTGATTGTTAACATAACGTGACATAACATAGCTATATTTCAAATCCAATCTTGGGGTATTGTTACAGATGCAAGTGTCCGAAATTAGAAAGAATAAACTAGATAACGCGAAAGTCAATACATAATAGAATTAAAACAAATGGTATTTGGAAATTTTTATGTTAACACCCAGAACTGGAATAATGAACATGAAAAATGAACTCACACTCCGCACATAACTTTTTGATATTTTGAATAACAAAGATAACTATATTGACACGCCCACTCCAATCAAAAAATTAAAATCAGCCCAAAATTATGATTCATAAATTCTGCTTTGTTTAATTAATCCGTTATTGCTAATACGTGCCATTAAGTTCTTTGTTTATTTCTCTCTTGTTTGGTTTTTGCTTTTGCTTTTAGATTGTAAAACTAAATATTTGCGAACTTTAATCTACTGATTACTATTCACTTAGATTCATCAAGTTTTCAGTTTTACGTTGTGTTAGTCCCTGTCCACACGAATCTGTTTTCATTTGAAAACGCAACTTTTTCTTTACGGATACGGCTTCCGTCCACATATCCAATGAAAACGATCAATGAAAATGGAACTTTTCGAAAACGCTCTTCAGAGTCAAACTTTTTGAAAAAGCTGTTTTTGCGTGTAGGTGTGAACAGAGGAAAACGGAACTTTTCGAAAACGCTGAGGACACACTGTCAGTTCCAATCCACTTCGCGCAATATTAGAAACTTATTTAAGATGGCGGGTGGGCGCTTCCCTTTCTTGTCTTGTATACTTGGGCTTACTTCTAACCTTAATACTTGTTTTCAGGCAAATTTAGAGTTTTGAGATGTTGAATTACAAACATCAGTAACATCCAACTAGTGGTCTATTATCAATGCTGCGTTCTGATTGGTTGAGCAACTACTAGGCTATATGTTATAGCCCACTAGTAACGAAAAGCGTCGGCTTTGAAAACCAAAACAATGGAGGCTGAATCGCGTTTTGCTAGCTTAAGTTGTTTTGTCTCGATATTTTTGACCAACAGCCTTCGGCCTCATGGGCTATTGACTCAGAGCCCATTCGGGCTTGGGGAATAATTGTTCAATAGTTCGACACTGCAATTAGGTTGAAATGGTGAGACACTTTTGCCCCAAAACACCCTTTTTCTTTCTTTAATTTGCGTCACAGGAAGAAATCCGTTTAAAGTAGCAAATGCAAGTGTTGAACACAATCACTTGATACGATCTTGGATTATGGGAACTTTGTCAACGGACCGGGGAGACGGGCATAAATCATGCGAAGAATTTGGCCTAATCGGCCCTTATTTTTTGGTTTGCTTCCTGTCACCAGAAGTTGACTTGGTATACAGATGCATGTAACTTGAATTTCATATTTTCAGGTTCGATGTATTGATGTATCACCAGGAGGGGGTGTAGGTGTTTCCTCTGGAGATGACGGTACTCTACTTGTCTGGGATTCCAGCAATGGTGTTTTAAGGGTATGGTAATTGATGTGTTTTTAAGAGAAACAATTTGTGAACTGTGCGGTCAAACCGCGTTAATATGGATACTGAGTGGGCCACAGAAAGTGTCCGTATAAAGCGGGTTGAATTGTGTAGTTCCAGAAAATATCCATACCGCCCCCCCCCCCCCCCCCCCCCCCCCCCCCCCCCCCCACCCACCCCCCCAACCCCAAACAAACACCGAGGGGGGGGGGGGGCGGAAGAGAGAGGCAAGTACCAATCGGAGCAGGAGGGGGGGGGGGGAGAGAGGGGAGGTAGGGGGGTGTGGTTCTTTCGTAAAAAAAGGACAAGAAGAATATTTTTTTTTTTTTTTTAAACAGAAAAGAGGACACGGAAGCGTGTGTTGGGTGGGGAGCGGACGGGGGGCTCTTCCTCCTTTAGGGGGGCCAAAAAAAGGTCCCGAAAAAAGGGGGTGAAATGTTTTGTGCCCAAAAAAAACACACCCCCCCCCCCCCCCCCCCCCCACACACACACACACACACACACACACACGGAAGGCAACGGAAATTCAGAGGGGAGGAGGGGGTTCCAAAAGGACGCAATTTCCGATGGAGTGTTGGGGGGAGTGGCTTCTCCAGGTTTTTTTCCGTGTCTCCAAGTAAGACTGGTGAGTTATCCAAAACTAACAGCCGCACTGCTGAGCAAGCTCTCAGTCATTTTACTGTTGACGATCTTTTAAAGCAAGAATTATTGTTTTCATCGACCATATTTTATTAACGGTCGGCTAAATTTTTTTCGTTCGGCTTATGCGATAGATGGTTGTCATTCGCACATAAATAAACTTCTGGATATATAGCTGTAACGGTATTACACAATATAATATGATATATATGATATAATATATATGAGAAAATGTAAGGCCTTTCTTTCCCTGGGGACAAGGAAAACTGTCAGGTGTCCTTAAGCAGGTATCCGTAGAGCGGAGTTCGACTGTTATTTGTTTACCTTCAAAACGTGGTATAAATGAATTAGAATTTAGAAGTGTACGTTTTTCTGGAGAGGGAAAACCGGAGTGCCAAGAGAAAAACCTCGTTGAGGAACGAAGAGAACCAACAACAAACTCAACCCACTTATGGAGTCGAAGACGGGATTTGAACCTGGCCAACATTTGTGGGGGGCGAATTTTCTCACCTCCTCGATCCTCGCCAACCTAAAATGATTTTCTTTTACTCATTACTAGAGGCATCCCACTATATTATTCGGCTGGAGGCAAACTAACTTAAGTTTACCGTTGATTACGTGTTAAGTAGTTTTTTTCTTGTGCTCTGTAAGTGCATGCCATTTTTGCTGCTTCTACACTATTGAAAGCTCTCTCTTCTTATATATCCCCTTTGATCTTGTTTGTAGCGGAGTCTCGAAGGCCACATTTCCGATGTAAACTGCTGTAGATTTTTTCCTTCAGGAAAGGTTGTTCTCAGTGGTGGTGCCGATCTACGGTTAAAGATCTGGTCAACTGAAGATGGGAGCTGCCCTGTCACATTAAAAGGCCATTCAGGAGGTTAGTATCACCTACCCCGCCCCCAAGTCAACATTAACACTACTTCTCGCTTAGGGCAAAATTGTGACTTAAGGGAGGGGTAGGTGATTAGTTACCCAGTAACCTCAATTTATCCAGTATTTCTTTACTTGCACTATTCCAATCTCCAGCTATATACTCTGCGAGGCAGTGTCACACTACTAAGAACACGTTATTACTACTTGTCACTCAATTATGCTTTGATACAAACCCCGCAAACGTTGTCATGGTGATGAGAATTAGAATTCAGTTCTACATTTAGCAGTGATTCTCGACTCTTTGCACTTTAAAAAGAAAATTTACTTGATTTCAGTGTCAATGTATTTGGCACAAAAGTACTAAATTGAAGACACTAATTTACGTCTCCTACTGGAGACGGATCCGCCATTTCACCTGATCATCAGAGCCACGCGAAGGTATTGCAGTTTGCAGGGCAAAGGGAGTGCCTTCATTTCTCCGTTATTTTAATTGACCGTGAGTACCATCTGGCCCCACGAATCGAACCCATGACCTCCCGCTCTGCAGTCAAGCGCTCTACCTACTGAGCTAATAATATCCTGCCGCGGTTACTCTCCAATGAATTTTTCGAGCTTTGCACAGGGTGACATGTTTGTATATCATCAGTCAGTTAATTAAAAAAAAAATACTTGACAAGCCAAGTTCGCCCTAGCATTTATTTATTAAAATCAAGTACGCATGGAAGACACTGATTGCTAGCAAAGTTCGACCTGGGATGTTTCTGTAAAGGACTATATATGTAGGACATGCTTTACCATGTGTGTGTTTGTCAGTGGTGGAGAACAAAGCAAGACAATTTTGAGATAGGTGCTACTGTTTTGAACTGAGGTCTATAACCAATATTGCTATTTACGTAAACAGCATTGTGAAGAAACTTGTTAAGAACAAACCTTTGTGATATCGTATATGTCTCTTGGACTTTGAAAAAAATGGAAAAGAACTTCAGTATTCTGGGTTTCACACAGAGTCTTGCAAAGTGTCTGTTTTTTAAATGGGCGGTCAGTTTTTTTTTTTCTTGCCATTCGTGGGTGCTAGTGAGTGATATTTTTGAGGGTGTCATTTCATTTATCTTGTTTTGAGGCAGTACTTTGCATTAAGAATCTCCTGATGAAGAAGCTTAATGAGTTTGACACATCTCGTTGTTGAATGATATAGTTTGTCTCTTTTTTTGCAGGAGTTGTAGATACAGCTATAGTGGACAGAGGAAGAAACATTTTATGTAAGAGCGATCGGAGATCAAATTCATCTGATCATGTTATGTACCGATTTCAACAAATTTAATACTCCCGCTTTTAATAGTTATCATGTTTTTTTGAGGTAAAGATCAATTAATCATGATATCTTTTTCCAAAATGAATGCAGCTTGCTCCAGGGATGGTTGTGTGCGTCTTTGGGATTGTGGAGAATCTAAATGTCTGGCAGTTGTGTCCAAAAGTGACTGTCCTGTTAATTCATGTGCATTGACTACGTTTCCAGGAAGGGAAAACAGTTCAGAAGTTAATGAACCACATAGTAAGTAGAGTTTTGATGTTGACTACTGTTACCTAGTGCCAAGCTACAGCATAGTTACCACAAATACCTGTCTAACCCTTCCAGGGATGTACCCAGCCTTTTTGCAATTGAGGTTGGGGAGAGGGGGGTTTCAATTCATTTGACTGAAGTTACACAAGGAAGTTCCACCGTGTCGAAATTTAGGGGGTAGTAGCTCCTATACGTGTAAAAGAGTAATAACCTGACTGAGTTGAATCCATTTTCTGGATTAACACTTATGATGCTTCGAATAACTGAGCCTAGCTATGAGGAAATTTTTGAGAAAAATAATACCATCAGAGAATGCACTTAGCAGTGAGATAGGATCTACTTTCAGGAAGCCCGTATGAACAAGAGTGTGCATGGTCTGACTGGAGTTAATCTCAGTAAACCGTTGGTAACGTTTGCTTGCAGAAAAGACCATCGTTATTTCTTTTATAAACTACTTCCCTTGGTTATTTCATGTTTCCGTTTTTGTTTCAGTCTCTCGTGACCAGCCTTGACCTCTGTTACTTGTCCTCTATATACGTTTATGAACCTTAGCATTAGGAAACTTACTGCAAAGTATACATACATGTAGTAATAAAAGTGAACTCTCGGTTGCCAGGTGAGCGAGAGGTCGGAACAGAAGGAAAACTGCTTTTACTTGCAAAAGAAGATGGCTTTATGGATGCTGTTGATGTATATAACAGAAGCAAGGTACTGTACCTTTTTAACACAGTTAACTGTCTTTGAAGAGGCCGTGTCAATAGCTATCTAGGTCATTCTGGGATTAATATTGCCAGTAACGCGTATGCATGTTATGGTAAGGGCGCTTTGCAAAAGTCAGGGTCTATTTGTTCGAGGGCCGATTAGTGCTAACCCAAGGTAAAGTTTTAACCTGGGTTTCTTTTTCTTTGTTCAACAACATTTTCCTGGATAATTTTCTTTATTCTTTATAGAGCATGCAATCATCAAATTGTAGGCAAAAAGAATAAAACCAAATTTGCCTTTTAAGTTTTCATGTCTGAATTCAAATTTCGCACTAACCCCGGGTTATCTTAACCCTGCTTTGAACAACCCAGCCCTGGACTGGTCGGCCGGACCATATTTGCCCAACCAGTCAAATTGACAATGAAAAATGCTTTTTTCCAAGAGTTTTTGTTGAAACACTATTTCTTTCTTGCGTGCTATGTAGGACTTGACTGATCTGGCTGGACATAGTTATGATTAAAAGTGAAATTCTCATTATGACTTGAATAGTCTGGCCGGTTAGTTCTGACAAATGGAAAGCGCCCTCTGGAACGTAACCTGAACTTAACGTTAGCGAGGAAGTTTCTTGTAAATGACAAACAGCTTTGTATCAAACAAATATCTCTCCCAAAGCATCATATCAAACGTTTCAAGCAACAAAAATGAACTTTAAAAACAGGTCAGACTAACAATTCTGACAATTGGCAATTACCTTAATCTTCTTCATGTTTTGCAATCCCTACCTTCATTTGCCGGTATTTGCTGTCTTCTTTATACCATCTTTTAATATTTTGAGCGGTTATTATTGTTTCACTCAATTTGGTGGCTGTTCCTTGTGTTCTAAATAGAAATTTCATGACACCGGCCCTAAAACGACATGCAGAGCCCGGTTGGTCCTTTTCGTTCTTACCGTAAGCCCCATCTCTAATGAGCACCCCTTTTTCAGGGGAAGAAAGTTATTAAGCCCCCCTCACCTCATTTAACCCTCCCCCCCCCCTTCACACACACACACACCTCCTCTAATTATTCTCTTCTAATAAATGATGGACTGTATTAATTCATCACGACTGTAAGAGTTCGGTGGACTGATCCGGGATGGTTTATTTAGCAACTGGTAGTTCGGATTTGTTTTTGATCCTCGGCTGCGTGACCTCCAACTCCTTGTAATTGAGCTTTTCCATTTTGTATTCTAGTTCTGTATGGAGAACTAATACCATAGTCTTTTCTAAATTAAATGAGCTCCCCATCCCCCCCCCGTCTATATTATTTATAAGCACCTCTTCAAATGAGCTTGAAAAAATAAGCCCGCGGGGAATTAATAGAGGATTTGCGGGTACTTTCCTTTTTTCCTTGATTCTCGACAAGGCGGTCGCCCCTCAGTCTAATAGAGACACCTCTTCCGGTCGTAGCGGTGTCTGTCTTAGAAATAGTTGCTTTTAGTTAGAAAATATTCTCAGAAATATTCATAAATTGACAATTTTCATCTCAGGGTGCTTTGATTTGTGGCTGCTTTCCTGAGATGAGAATGATTCGTTTTTCCCCTTTCATGGGCCCTAAGCCTGATCAAACCACTGAAGTAGGTCAGTTACAATCCTGACCTGGTAAAATCAACATTTTTTTTTTCTTCCCTTTCCATTAACTGCAGTTATTTTGGAGAGGTTTTCTTTTGTGGCTACAGCCAGAGTACTCTCAGCGTCAAATAGTAACGAAGACTTCTGAAGGGCCCGTTTCTCGAAAGTCCTGGTAACTTTTCGGGCCCGAAATCAAATATTCAAATCGAAATTTAAAGAATAAGAGCGCGGGTCCTGGCTAGCAAACTACTCCTTTTTGTTTTACTAACTGATAGTGTTATCATGTTAGATATAAAACCTACTGAAACTTCTATCTTGCATGTAAACAGCAACAGCTTTACGGGGCTTTCGAGAAACGGGCCGCAGCTGCAGGACCAAAAAAAAATGCTTGTCCGATTTTTTTTGTTAAATAACTAGTAAATAAGCTGTCAGAGTATTTGTTGGATACTGTAAGTTCTATGGAAGTTTCATCTCCCATTTCATATGTCTGGGTTTGTTTTTTGGCTGCTTGTTTTTCAGGTATTTCAGTTTAAATGTCCATCAGCTTTGAATTGCTGTACATTCTTGTCTGAGAGTGAAGCTGCGGGCGGAACAGAAGATGGAACCCTGTGGCTTATAGACATCAGGTTTCCAAGGTTGGTATCCTTTAACACACGCCAACAGCGCACGCGTTTGTTCATTTTTTGGGCGTTCAAAAGAAATATTTTATTAAACAAAATTCATCATCACGTTGTTGAGAGACCTTATGTAGAAGGGGCTTATCATGCATGGAAATGAATAGCAAAGTTTATTATAATATGCTTTGGAAAAACCAGACGTTTCGAGGGTGTCCCTTCTCCCTCTGTGGTTTGAAGGCAACTGTAACCAGTGAGGATGAAGGAGCTGTGTTGCTTTAAAACCTCTGAGGAAACGATAAACTGATAAACTTCGCCATTCACTCGACCATTTGCATTGCACAGTTTTTCAAACGTTTTTGTAACACTTTATGCATTGGAATGTTCTTTTGAGTCAAGGAAATAAACCTGAATGAGATAGGACACTTAAATATTGGAAAGATTTGAAAATGACGTCAGGGCAGGTTCAAGCAAAAGCATTCCAAAGCTGAGGGGCACATATAGAAAATGTCCTGAACCCATACGATTTTACATTATAAGATTGTGTCTTCAGGAGCTGCGTGTTTCCTGATCTAAGGCTACGGCAAGGTCTGTAAAGGTTTAATTGATCCTGGAGATGGTTAGGTACCATACCATTCACCACTTTATATGTAAATAACAAGATCTTAAATTCAACCGGCAACCAATGAAGCTTCATTAGTATTGGCTATATCTGATCACGCTTCCTAGACAATGTCACTAGCCAGATGCACTGATGTCTGATAATGAGGGCTTTTTAGCGCAGTATTCCAATAAAAGCTACTAATATACTGCGTCTGAAGGTGCCGAACGCTATACTACAACAGCGAACATTCGGACCATACATGGAACTTTCTGTAGCAGCAGTTCAGAAAGTGGAGCGTGACCAAAAAGAGGGAGCGAAACCCAAAAAAATCATAATGCCTCGTGCAGGCTAATTTTCCTGTCTCTCTAGAAATTGTTAAAAAGTATTTTTTTAGTAATAATTGTTTTCCGTGATTGATTTCGATGAGAGAAGTGAACAATTTATTCTTGTTTTGCTCAGTGTTCCTGTTGGTGTGTTTCGGCGATCAGCATCACCTGTGCTTTCTCTCTCAAGTCTTCGTGAAAACAAACTTCTTGCTTCTACCGGTGAGTCGCCAACTGAAACCCTTTGTAGACACAGTTATTTCATCTTAGTAGCAGCTAGTATCGTGCTCAAATACTTCCCTTTAGTATATTTTCACAGATGAACAGCAATAATAGGCCATAAACTGTTATTTTCAAAACGAGGCTAAGTGGAAAATTTTTCTGTAAAATGAGTTTTATCAAGAGCCACCCATTATGGCTTTTGGTTTTATTTGACCCGAATAATTTTAAGGTGTCGCCTTCAGAAACCATTCTCAGGTATTAAACATAGCTTGGACACGAGTGCTGTTTAATAGCCAACCTTGCGGGGTTCTATCTAGGAGTTATCTTCTGGGGAAGAAGTCCCAAGTGGCTGAAGGCCACGAGTTTCCTGGGGGGGGGGGGGGGGGGGGGGGCGGCCCCCCCCCCTCAATATTTTTTTTAAAATATATTTGCCGTGAGTTACAACTGTGCTCCTTTTGGAACACATTTTTGTAAATGTCTCACATGTGAAAAAAATTTTGGGTGGGGCCCGTAAAACACCCTTCTCAGAGAATAAAATTTGTTGGGACGGGGTGCTTTTTAAAAAGCAACATTGGGGGGGTTTCAATGGGGGTTTTCTTGGGGGGGAAAAGTGCCCAGGGGGGGGAGGCGCAGCGTTTTGCGGGGGGGGGGGGGGGGCAGGGGGCATGCCTCCCCCTTCAATAATTTTTTTAAAATGAATATGCGCTGATATGCAATCTGGTGCCTTTTGAGACACAATTTTGAGAAATGTTACAGTGTGTGCAATGACCTCGTCGCGTCTGGATGATTTTTCCAGTATAGTTACTTATACACTGTAATGATAACCACATTTTTGGGGGGGGAAGCTGGGCATCTAGGGGGGAAGCTTCTACCTCTCAAATACCCTAGATAGAACCCTGCCTTGCTGTAGTATTGACCGAAAGGGTAGGGTTCGCACACGTCTTTTCAGTTACACCCCTTAACGATACAACGAGCATCCCCGTCTTTTTCGTAAGGAAGTTCGTCCACCCCGTGTCTGTACGATCATATCACCGCTCTGGAAAAATGCACACGGAGATATCCTTAGGATCAATGCATTAATCTGGTTACTGTTTAATGAGTGTTTTAAAATCTTGTACTCATATTTTGTTTGTCTAGTTCTGTTATATATCTACAATTTATTCTGGACAGTATGATTTTGCTTGATTATGCTAATCCTTTAACCTGTTCCGCTTCTTTGATATTTTAGGGGATGGCTCGTGTTTCTGTTGGGATACAGAACGTCTGAGACAAGCAACAGACGTAGTGAGTGGCTGGGAGTTGATTGGACCCGACTGTGACCCTGTATACAGCATTTGCCGCTCTGCTAATACGGTTTATACTGCCTGTAGAGACGCAAAAATAAGAAAATATATACTGAAGCAGACCGAAATCACAACAAGTTAGACCACAACAGACTGACTCTGGAATCAAGTAGTTCAACACAAGCCTGCAAACTATGATAGAAATAAGAATTATTGTAACTTAAAAATTTTTCCTTCCTTTCCTTTCACTTCATTCTTCTTTTAACTGGGCCGCCTAGATTAACAATTGCTACTTTGCGGGCCAGTCTATTGTAATTACTATAAATGTATTAAATAAAGTTGAAGTTGAAGTTGCATTTCCCCCCCCCCTTCTCTGAGGATATCAATAAGGCGGGCATGCATCCGAAGCATAACACTTTTACAACATTTGACGTGTGTTTTACCCCTCCAGATACACCTCCTCGATATAAAGAGATGTAAAAATGCACTTTAAGCGCCCCTCCCCCCTCCCTCCCCAAATTATTCTTCACTAATAAATGATAGACTTTATTAATCAATCAATCACGACTATAAAACTTCGTGCAGACTGATCCGGGATGGTTTACTTACCAACTGGAAGTTCAGATCTGATTCTGATCCTCGGCTGCATGACCTTGAACCCCGTCTCTATTAAGAACTCTTCCCCCCGGCCCCCCTCCCCCACGCCCCGCCTGAAATGGGCTTAATCATGTTAATGAGAGACCTTTAGCATCAGGTAAACCGCAAACCGCAAACCGCAGTTACGCGTTTGCAGTTTCGCGTTGCGGAGATTTCAAACTTTAGCAAGGCGTTCAGTTCAGTTCACTTTTATTTAGCCAAAATAAATACAATACAAGAATACATATATAAATTGTAAGGTTGCAAGGGAGCCCAGAAGAAACCAGAGGGCTTTATGAAGCCTGAGCTCCCCAGTCTAAAAGAAATAAGCAAAATAAAATGATATTCGCAGAGTGATACGTTAAAAATAGGAAGTTCCAAACAGAGACTGAGTTAAGTTATGAATTCAGTAACAAGATAGAAAAAAAAATTTAACTGTGGATTGGAACAGAATACTTTCCATTGTTAGTACGGCAGAAAGGAATATAAAATTGATTTGAACTACGCGTTCATTGTTTAGGGCCGCCATGTTGTTTTCATCAAGTCGAAGTGCATCACTTTAATCGCCCTAAAATCAGCAATAATTCATTGATTCGAGATCAGAAATCCAACAAACACATCGCAAACGGATACAAAAAGCTAGTTCATACCTTTAAACGCGAGGCTGTACAATTTTTTGTGGCAAAAAAGAGGGGGGTGAATAGGGGTATGCAAATCCGCCGATCCGTGGTATTTTTAGGCCCGATCCGTCGATCCGACTTAATTTTTGTTCAAATCCGAATCCGTGTTACAGCTGTACTTTAAAAATGTTTCGCTCTTGACGGCCAGATACTCGGGAGCCTCTGTTCAACTTTATAGCGATGCTTTCTCCTAGCCCCAGCTCTTTTGCAGTTATGTGCAGCCCAGCAAAAGTACTGCAACATTAAATCGGCAAAACAACTAATTTGACGATTTCCAACAAGATACTTGTCTGTAAAATGGAGCTGCCGTTAGCAGGAAAACGTGGAGGCATTTGTATGAAAACTAAAAGTAAGACTTCTCGCTTCTCAGCGAACCGATGCCCCTTCAAACTTAATTGGTTAACTGTTTTACCAGTATCTTTAGTTGGTAAATCATACAAATTTCAGAATGTTAACTTACCTCAAAGATCCTCAAATTATAGAGTATCAAACTCCCGACTTTTACCATACATTTATTGTAAATTTTGCCGTGTTTGCTCTCAACCAAGATGGCGACAGAAACCGTGAAAAGGTCTATTAAGTTAACGATCAAGACAAGCAAACTAGCTGAAATAGCTTCGAAGAACATAATTCAGATCAGCTCATGTATAAACCAAATGTAAAACTTATGCATCAGTCAATTCCACCTGCGCCCAGCCCCCCTGGGCTACTGCGGGGCATTTGCCCGCCTTGTCAGTCCCGGGGGTGGGGCATTTGCAAATTTTGCACAGCCCGGGGGCCGGGCATTTGCTAACCCCCGGGCCATTCCCGAGCTTTTGAAACGCACGCGGGTTCCTATCAGAATATAACTACACAGAGGGTTTTATTGGAAAAAACGCAGATTGGCTCAACTGTCAAGGACAGAAATAGATTGTAGAGGGTTGTAAAGGCATGTTCTCGATTTTACATGTATGTATGCATTTCTTAATTGCTTATCAAGCCAGAATTACGTACCGACATTGGAGCCATCGATGTGAATCAACGTTTTTTGGTTACTGAATCAAATTTCTGTTGATATTATTTGAAGAACATCCTTTCATATTTATAAAACTATTCATCTGTTCATAACATATAACTTTACAGCACTCTATTAATTTTAATGTCAATAATTTTATATTACTTTATTACAGATTTTACTTTATTGCAGATTCGCTCCACTACATTACAAGCAAATAATGAAATGAAATAAGCTAACACTACTATAAGAAAAAAAAAAGTTGTGGAGAAGGAGACAACCAAAAGCGCCAATGCGCCATACTAGGGATGCACCCACTAATAGCGCTTTCTACTAATGACGTCACAAATTCTGGTCCCTGCCGTGACTCAGACATTAAACCTGACCAGTGTAAAAGTTTAGTATGGGAAACAAAATCCAGCTTGGTTTCGATAATAAATATCCTGAAAATAATCAACTCGTGCTAAGACAGCGTTAAACGCGGAAAAAACTGTACAGATGAGTGGTTTTATTTCTTATGCGGCGTCCTAATGCTGTTGGTAAAATTATGTTAAAATATGTGGAAAGCAGGGCTTCATAGCTGTGCGTGAAACGGTGCATTTGGTTAAATTTATAGGCAAAGGTTGCTCAATTTGTTTTTCGAGTGCTTATGTTACGCTACTTAGTACTACAGGATATAAACTACTAAAGTATTTGTCGCAGATTCATATGGTCTACCTGGCCGCAGAACAACAGAACAAACTTAAACGATTTGCGGTTTGTGCTAATATTGGTGTGCTTTTCACCTTAGATATTCTGTCACAGGCTTGCTAGAAGCACCATCCAAACTCGATTTTCTCTTTAGCAATTTCGGTTTTGGAGTATTACACAGCCAATAATGTTATGTCATGTTTCAGTGCATAGCGGTGCTTTCTGCCTAAGACAGAGAGCTAGGGATCCGATATTTCAGTAGCCTTCTTTGATCGAGTCGATTTATTTTCTGGTTTTAACTATATTGAGTTACTGGACCAGGTTTTGCTTCCAATAGCATTAGTGCCTTTTATATATTGGAATTATGCTCAAAAAACATTTTGAAAATGCTCACTGTGAATTTTATGAACAATTTTCATGTCGGAAACGTATGTTTCCCATACAAAGCCTTGGAGTAGAATGCAAAGTTTGTCTGAGTCACGCGGGGGGGTCTAAGGTGACAAAACCTATTTTTAGTAATAGTATAAAGCGCTATTAAAACGTAACAAAAATATATACAAATAGAAATCTAAATGTTCTAGTTATCCTTAATAAAGCTTAAAACATTTCTTTTAAAAGTTGCAATACTGTTTGATTCTCTAATATGATTGGGTAAACTATTCCATTCATCTACCGTCAGTTCTACTAAGATGCCTACTAAAATTTGGAGCAAGGTCCTGTGTGTCATTTTTCCTCAAGTTATAACCTGTATTTCTGTCCTTACAAAATACGAGCTTATTTGAAATGTCAATATCATAATGCCCATTAATTACATTAAAAAAAATGTAACATCTCTAGTGAATACTTATATCAAGTCTTATTAAATTAGAATCCTCGCGCTATTACAAAGGAAGACGTTAACTGAAACAAAAAATCGTACATTAAAATGCTTAAAATGGCACTATTTGACTGTGCGATCAATGAAAAATGTTGCGGTGTTGACGGAGGACGGGGCATTTGCCCTCCTTTTTCGTCCCCACCCAGGGGGATTTGACAGCTCAAGAGTCCCCACCCCCGGGAATTTGCCATCCAAGGCAAAAAAACTGCTAATACCCGGGGATCAGCCCGGAAGGGGGGGGGGGGCTGGGCGCAGGTGGAATTGACTGATGCATTACCGAACGTGCTTGCGTAGCTTCACTGCACTTCCCCACTGACTGGAATCGACGCAGCATCAAAACTTATTTTTTTTGAATAAAGTCATCGCCTTTGACACCTTCGTGGTAGAAAAAGGCTACACACTCGATAGTTCTAGTTTCCATTTTGCAATTTTAACAATTTATATAATTACACGAACGCATTCACAGATCTTGTCAGGTCACTTAGCATTACCGCCATTACCTGAACCGTGTGTCACTATGCAGGAACCATGCACAAGGTTGCCTGACGTCATTTCCGTCACGCTGTCTATACGAGAATACATGTATATGCGTCGGTCACTAGAAAGTCTTTTCCGGAAACCTCGGAAGTGGAACGTTAGCAGATAAAGCACCAGCACATTGACTAAGGCCGACCGAAAATTGATGATCCGATCCACAATCCGAACTTCTAGACTGACAGAATCCGGAAACCGGGCCAAAACTTTCAGCTGACCCGCGATCCACGGTATTTTTCAAATCCGCGAATCCGCTCGATTTATCGCCGAAGTCCATAATCCGTGAGCTTTTTAAGGCCAAATCCGCCGATCCGCGGACCTATTCACCCCCCTCAAAAAACCTTGCCGTAAATCACTTACCGCTGGAAGCCCTTTCTGCGGTTCAAACGTGAACTGCAAACTGCAAACGTGACCGCAAGGCCGTGGTCACGTGACATTTTGCGGTTTGCGGTTTGCCGTTTCCCACGAAAAACCTGATGCTAAGGGCGCGATCCATTCGACCAAAATTCAGACCGGTCCGACCGGGAAAAGAGGACCACCTCAAAAGGTGGACCTGTTTTTTCGAAACTTTTCCGGTTGGACCGAACCGATCCATTGAGTTTTGGACCGAAATTTCCGGAAATTTTGGTTGAATGGATCGCGCCCTAAAGGTCCCCATTATTAGGGACCGGCCGAGGAGGACGTCAACCGGAAGTGAAATGTTCAATTCTTGTAACAATTAGCATAATGCTACAGCGTCGACCTGAAACCAAACGTTTGGTCGCCTCGTTACACGGTGAGTTGGTTTTCTTGTTTTCAGTGCATAAATTGCTTCTCGTACAGGATTTTCGATCCATTTTACTTCAAGAGACACATTTCAGTGTTTTTAGCGTGGTGTTCTCTCAAGATTGACTCTTATTTTTTTGCTATCAAGCGTTTTAGGTTCAGTGTCTTGGCGGCAACTGAGAATGACCGCGCAGACTCTTTCGACACAAATGTAACACTATAACTGCTTATTTGTAAGTCTCAACATGGCCGTTGCTGTGAGAACGATTTCGGTACCTTTCCTGTTCCTTGTCTGGCTATGGACCTTAATAACAGAAGGAAACCAGTTTGCAGTCGATTGTTCTTTCGGAAATGCAGAAGATCTGACAAGTAACCTCACAATGTCTGCCACTTTCAAAGGTAGACTTGCGGCATCGAAATATCTAAGCCACTCCTGTGTCGTGAAGACAGACGGAGCAAGCCAACAAAAGCGGTTCCTGCGGGTGAAAGCCAAACTTGTAAACAACGAATCGAATGGTAAACATGTTTCTTTTATTTATTTGGACATTGCTAGTGATTTTTTTTAATTCTTAATTAATTAATTAAAAAACGTACGGTTCGTTTTGCACTGAATAGGCCCACTACAAGTTAATTCTTAAATTAGTTCCATCTTATAATCACGAGTTATGATGCATTATTTTATACACAAATTCAATGAAATGAGGTCTTCTCCTCGCATGATTGATAAAAAATTGTCATTTTAGCTTGATATTTTCTTGGAAAAATGTATCACGGTTCTACAAGGAGAACGTCTTCCGCAATCAAGGCTTGAAGTAGATTAGGTTGATCTCTGGCTATCTAAGACACATGCTTTTAATAGTCACGAAACATAGCCAAATTGCTACGTTTTCTCTGTATGTTTCACGGCTGGGCTGGCCCTTATTGCGTTTGTGATTACCATAAAAGTGGCCTTTGGAAAGGATTTTGCCATCACGAAACAGCAGAACCGTGTCTGAACTATGAAATGTTTGTTTTATTAAATGAAATGCCATTACACCTTGGTGACGCACTGTTTTGACAGTAAAAATAGGGAACCTTAGTCCAAATTACCGTAAAATTCCGAAAATAAGCCCCGGGGCTTAGATTTTTCAAAGGCTCTTTTGAGGGGCTTATATACGGAGGGAAATTGGCGTTTCGAAATCGGCTTTTCTTATACTGAGAGGGAAATATGCGACTCAAAGAAGGTCTTAATGGGGTAGTGTCTTTTACGGCTAACGGTAAATATTTTGGCGTTTTTTTACCGCTAACGGTTAATTTTTTTCGTTACGGTTGACGGGTCTGTTGAAAATTAATTACCATTGTTTTGTCAAATTAATTTTCATTGCTGTAAGAAATTTCAAGTCTCAGGAACATTCTGGTCTATATCTTCATTCCTACACTGCGGTTTTTTGACGTATAGTATACAAAACAAATAAAACAAGAAAGTATATTTACTCGCATTTGTGAAAGCGAAATAAATGCAGTAAATGTGCCCATTGAAACATTTGAAGTAACATCCATGCTGTATGAATAACAGTTTTTGGTTTACCTTAATGTCGTGGCTTACCGTTTTGAAAAAACGTTTCTAAACATCAAACCGTATCGTCGCTTTGACTTGTCTTCCAGGCCTTGTCATCACAGATTTACAATTGACCAGTTCCTCTGAGTCAAAATCCGTCGTGGAATCAACATCACTACAATCGGAATCGCTTCCGTACTTCTCCACCTGGTTGAAATTGGCCTCGGTCGCGAAACTTTTAAACTGGAGAAAGTCTAATAATAGTAAGAGATGTCAAAACGTCTGTCAATTAGTGCTGCGACACCGTTCGACTGACACTTCTAACACTTCCGGTTTGCTTAATAGTGAGAGTATCGGCTTTTTTCGCTCTACAAGATCGTACAAAGACTCGTAAAATCATCAGATTTAAGATACATTAAGTTTTCAGTCGAGACCTTGGACATTTATTTTTATGGCCATAATTTTTACGGTTAAAATTTTTTACGGCTAACGGTAAATTTTTTGGCCGTTCTACGGCTAACGGTAAACCCCATTGAGACCTTCCTGAAAATACGTTGGGCTAGCTATAAAGGTCTATAGTTGGAAGGAAATTTATGTTAGTTGAGGACATAGATCTTTCTAAAACTCAGCCATGTAAGTATTTTGTCTATATGGACCGAGGAAATCCAAGCCAAGACTGAAGAGTGAAGTATACGCAAACAGCATTATACTGTGACACATTTGACTGCAATCATTTGGCAGACGTAATAGTTCTTTAAAAATGTAAAATTGATGTGTTACTGTACAGTTTTTGCTTCGGCTTCGGCTTCGGCAGATAACACAGACCTCGGTTTTGATAATTCATGATATCATGCTCAACCTCATCCAATGATTGTTTATTAAGCGTCGGTATTTTTAGTAGTTGTGATGGAAAACTAACATATAAGTTTTGTCTTTGGAAGAGTTAAAGAGTTGTAGTGTGTTAAAAATATATTTTATTCTAGTTTACCGAAAACCCTGCGTCCGAACCTCAGAAACACCATTTTTCGAACTCGTAACCTACTAGCCGGGTTGTCAAACATTATTTTAGTGAAACGATACCCGTACAAATTCATGGCTGGTAACAATTTTTCGCGATACCACTGAATTCCCGATTGAAATTAGAACGCAAAGAATACAGTTGAACCTCTCTACAACGGCCACCTTGGGGACAAAATAAAGTAGCCGTTGGAGAGAGGTTGAAACAAAAGTCAATGTATGGACTGTCCGCCAAAAAAAGTGGCTGCTGTAGAGAGGTGGCCGTTAGTGGAGGTTCGACTGTATTCCTTTCTGATGGAGAAAATTTTGAGGTCAACCCAAAACCAAAACCAAGACTCCTTTTGTCGAAAACTTTTTTCAGCCAAGTATTATTTCTACTAACATTTTCCAGAAAATGAAAAGAAAATCTTAAAAAGGCATGCTAATTATTGAAAATATGTTACTTGTCTTATCACGAGCAAGGGATAAACAATAAATTCTGAATCTTATACCTTCGGATTCAGCGCTCCGACGCTCTACCACTGAACAAATAAAACCAATAGAAAACTGAAACAACAGGAACTGATGCGTTTGAGTGTAACGCCCGGTTCAGATCCCGAACCTTTCATGAGCCGAACCTAATTCGAACTGAGGCCGACCCAAATTATAAGACCGGCTGAATTGATTCAGACGCCGACCTAATTGTAGTTGATCTCAGTACCAAAAGACGAAAAATGTCGGTCAAAATACTTACAAAATACGTTATAATAATCTATGCATTAGGTTCGGTACATGAAAAGTCGGAGTCTGAATCAAAGCCGTTCCAAAGTCGCTCCAAAGGTGAAATTCCCGGCCAGGCTAGGCGAAAAGAACGGCTGAGCCGTTCCAAATTGAAACAGGCGTACCTAATTGATTCAGACGCCGACTTTNGGTACATGAAAAGTCGGAGTCTGAATCAAAGCCGTTCCAAAGTCGCTCCAAAGGTGAAATTCCCGGCCAGGCTAGGCGAAAAGAACGGCTGAGCCGTTCCAAATTGAAACAGGCGTACCTAATTGATTCAGACGCCGACTTTTTCATGTCTGACTTAATTCAATGTATTAGGTTCGGCTCATAAAAAGTTTGGCGTCTGAACCGGACATAAGGCAACTACGATTTAAATCGTCAATAACAGAAAAATGAGGATTTATATTCTCTTCAACAGGATTTCTGCATGCATCTGTATATGGAACAGATGAACCTCACGTGCTGGGCAACTTAGATGTATGGAAATCTGATGGTCATTGGGCTTCTCTTACCATATGTCCATCACGTGACGACAAGATAGGTCGAGAAAAGCATCTGTTACTCTCAGGGACGCCAAACCTTGGTTTTAAAGTGCAGGTAGAAAGTTCTGTTGAGAGAATAATGCTAAATGATCCAGTGAAGTTCGATTTAGGCCCTCAGGAATCGAACAAAGTTTTCCAGTTCATCCCAGAAGGAGACATCTCTGACATGCAACTTGACGTCACGGTCAATTCTGAATCTGATGACGTACCAGCTTACTTAAAAGTATCACGTGATTGTGAGGATGTAAATGAGAACGTTGACGTTGTGGACTACAAGGGAGAGTCAATTCGTCTGTCGTTCGCCAAAAAGGACGGATTACTTTGTCGAAAGTTTCCATTCCACCATTGACTGATTCCAAGTCAACCTGGTTTATCGGAATTTCTATTAAGAATGCTACAGGTGAAACGAAAGAAGATGCGACAAAGAATGTGACTTTAACTTTGAAAAGTTCATTTGATTATTCTTACTTTTGTCCTATATTTGTTTGGGTCACGTTGTCCGCAGTCTTAGGTTCATTGGTGGCGTATGGCGTCTTTCACTGCTTTCCGATTGCGTACACCGCTACCGAAAGTCAGTCAGACCAGGATGTTGATTCCTCGCCTACAGACACTGATCCTCTTTCATCCAGGGGAGAGAACATTCAACTACTAGACAGTCTGCCTCGAAATCACCCACCTCAATCCAGCAGCACTGCACAAAATAAAGGACCAAATTATGGCGCGACTGCTGTCTCAGTTGAAGTAAAGACACCCACGCAAGATGATGAACGAGCAGAGTTACTTCAAAACACTCAAGAAAGTTCCCGACAAGCAAGTCAGACAGGTAACTCTTATACTCACCCGAGAGAAGTAAGGATAATGGGAAGATGCTGTGAAGTTGTGAAGAACTGGTTTAAACGTGGTCCTAAAACATACTCGTACATTACTGGTATCGTGGGGTGCGTGTTGATGATTGGTGCAGGCCAGTTTGTTTTCGCTAACTGGCGTTTAATGATAGAGGAAGGAGATAAGGACACTTGTTTTTACAATGACTTTTGTTATAGAGTCAGCCCCTGGGATGATATTCCAATGAATTTAATGATTAGTAACTTAGCATATATGATCCATGGCCTTATTCTTGCTATTTCTGTCATGTTGATGGAATCAAAGCTATTTTCTCATCATAGAAATCGTAATAGTTTACCTCCAAAGTATGCTTTTTCCATGGGTTATGCTTTTGCATGGGCTCTATTTTTTGAAGGTTGCTTTTCCTTTGTCTACCATCTCTGTCCAAGTAAGTTAACGTTTCAGTTTGATACAGGGTTTATGTTCGTGATTGCAGGATTGGTTGTTGTTTTGTTGTACAATGGAATTGAAATGAAGGAGAGTGAGGGAGAGAGAGGGTTTGTCGATGCAGCCAATTTCTTCCTATATTTCCTGGTACCATTATACATTTTTAACTATTTTGGCACACTGAATCATTCAGAAACTGGGCTTTTTAATATTCCGACTTTTTTTGCATTTGTTGTAATATGGTGGATTGCAGTTACTATCTGGACGGGTTGGAAACTGTTTCCAGACGGCAGCTTTACATGGACGTACGTCTGGGACAAGAAGAATAGATGTAAGTGTATCTGGTTCTTTCTTGGTTTTGTCGCGCCGCTCATTTTCTGTGTGAGTTTTTTAAACAATATTCCTCAAGCTTTCTTGTTCACCTGTATTGCAGAAAGTTTCATTGCTATTATCGGGACTGTTATGTTCAAGTGGGAAAAATTCAAATTGACAGGAAATCACTGCGTAAAATGTTTCCAAGTTTTTTATTGCTTGTGTACGATTATTTTGTGGATTCTGGCTGGTTATGTTTTCGACAAAAAACCAACAACAGATAAAGCATTAACCCCTGAAAAATCAAGAGATTACAATCAAGACTGTATCTTTTTGAAGTTTTATGATTACCATGACGTATGGCATATTTTTTCATCCCATGCTCTTCTCATGACAGCGTACCTTGTCATGTTTATTAGTCAAAAGAGGGGTTGAACAGTTACAGCGGTCAAACGTTGGTCATGCGCAGAGGGATCAATTCTTGCCGGCCGCGTGCCAATTTCCCGCGCAAAATTTGAAAGGAAGTATAAGAAAACAACCGCTTTCCCGCGAGGGTTGCGTTAAGAAATTGAAATTTTCATCAGAAATCTGCAAAAGGAAAAAAGAATACAGAAAGAAAAAGGCCATTTATATACGGGTATTTCTTGATTTTACCATTTTGTTTTGAACTTTACCAAAAAACTTCCATGGTTTTCAAACACTGGCTCGTGTGGTTGTTTATAACTTTTGTAAGACAACTTGGTTCCGACAGCATGAAGGCATGCCACCTTGCCATTATGACGTTTGCACATGCGCAGACGTTTGTGCGCGGTATGGTTGAAAATGACCCGGAAATGTAATCAAAAGTAAAAATAAAGGTTGTAAAACTGCAAATGAAATTCTTTTTCAGGGGGGAACCAAAATATTACCATTTTGCATGGAGGTGTTTACAATCGCAAACTATGAAATGTAGATTTTGACACCGTCCCAGATGGTAAAAATGGTTTTAAATTTGAAAAAGCTTGGACGAGACGATCAGTCGCTGTCTGAGGGATAGCAAACTGGCTTAGTTCTTTCAATCTCATATAACCACAATGTTTATGGGGTACTCATGTAAAACAGGTGTGCATTTCCGTTCATGTGTTGTATAAAAGTTGTCTCTGAAAGTTGTCCCTCAATGGCATTTTGAAATAAGGTTTAGGTTCAAGTTAGGCCTGTAGTAATAATCGCTTATTGAAATGTAACAAGAGCCAGTGATAGCCGGACACGTATAACGTATGTGAATAATAGAACTTGTAACGGTTTTCGACGCCATCTTGACGAGTAGGCAAACGTGTGAGAAATTACAGTGTTTGTGTGAGAATCTAATGTCGAATACCTGTGCTTAAGTTTCTTCAGACGCTTGCTTTAGATTTTCCATATATTTGTCTTCAATTTTTCCCAGGACTTTCTTACAGACAAATGTATAGAAAATTTAAAAACGTGGTTTTAGGGACTGTGCAATAATTATCGGGAG